TGCCAGAATGGTAAGGAAGAGGAGAAGGAAAGAAAGAAGGAAGTGAGAAGTGAGGGAGGGAGGAAGAAGGAAGGAACCTGCATGAGAAGCTGGCCTTCTATCTCTTAGACCAGTACTATTGCTAATACAACACATAGACAAGCTGATAAGGGTATGCTTCAAAAGCATATTCACAGGAAGTAAGATTTGGAAGTGACAGGACATTCCCAGCACCCCTCACATCATCCCACACATGAAGCTGTGTCCCCAGTTGCCAGGTAAGGTTGGACCCAGTGAGGGTGTGGCTGTCACCAACTCCTTATAGATTAGCCTAGTCACTGTCCATACCTACACAGCTGGTGGTGTCAAATAACATAATAGCTGGCTGGTGTTGTGGATCATAGAGCCCCTCCCCCTCCCTACTGAGGATTAAGGATATGTAAGTTCAAGGGCTATTCAACTCAAGCAAGCTCAAGCCATCAAACACCATAACCTTCAGAGTATCTTCTATGATCTTCCCCATAAGCCCTAGAAAGTGGCCAAGTTGGTCTTAGCTCTATTTCACATATGAGAAACAAGAGATAAGGAGGTCACCCAGCGGTCAGGTGGTCAGATGGGATTCAAATCTAGCTGGCAGTTCACAGAAGAGGAGTCCAAGTCCTAATTCTTGACTAAATTCCTGGCTTTTTCTGCGTCACTATGGTGCTCCCTCAATCCAACGTGAATGGCAAATCGACATTGTTACAATCATTTCATATTCTCTTATCACCTCCAATCACACCTGTCGCACAGAGAAAATGTATTTAACAGGGTAAACCTGAAGGGCCGCATGGACTGCGGAAACGTCACTGTTCCAAAGGAGCACTGTGTCTCCTTTCCTAATACTGAAGATGAGAATACCGTTACCTTCTTGCTCTAGCTATCTAAGTTGGCTGTTGCAAAGCTTAAACGAAACAACTGAATAGAAAAGAACTTTGAAAACACAGGATTGGGCATGCAAATAAGGGATCCCTCTTAGAAACAGAGACCATTTATAAATTTATGATCTTCCTTAGCTTGAAGCCCTGAGACCTGGCAAATGGAGTGGGCTCTAGAAATAATGATCCCCTTGGATCTTCCCTTGCCAGTGAGTTGAGCTGCCTCTAACAGACTGCAAGGGAGTTACCAACAATGCCAGCTCTGCTTCCAACTCCGGGCTTGGTACACACCCCCTGCTTTGGTTTATCCTCTTAGCTGTGGGTCTGCTCGTATCAATGTAGCATTCTGCTGAAGCAAAAGTCTCATGCCCAGCTGTCATGACTTAATGACATCAATCGCACCCAGCAAGCATCCAGGCGGACTGAAAAAGGCTGTCAGTCCCATGTGTTTTTACAAACATGCATACCCTTGGTCTCCTGCAGGCCCAAGGCCACAAACAAGCACCTTCAACCCTGAGAGGTGCCCTTGGGGCAAAGTGAAATGCACAGGAGTAGGTTTGGAACCATAAAGAGGACAAAGGGAAGACGGAATCACAGAACAGAACAGCAGATACAGGGAGAGAGGAAAGGTGGGCACGGGCGATGGGTATGGGGAACCCGTCCCCTCAACCATCTGGAAACCCCTACAGCCCTAAGCAGCTTCTCTTTAAGGGTTTCAACTCCTTGGGAACCATGATCCCTTTGAAAATCGCTCTTTAAAAATATGCATGCACAAGTATATGTACCATCTTGCCCACAATCTCCAAGGAATTGTAGTCTTCCTCCCCCAACAACTGATCTGAGACTGCTGCCTTATCCAGGCCCTGCCCATCAGGGCAACAGTACTAGAGCAGCAAGGGGGCTGGACTGCCGGGCTGGAAGCATCGAGGGGTGTTTAAGGGGGAAGGAATGAATGTCATGATGCTGCCCTTTGTCTTCTCACAATAACTATTTCCCTTAAATCACTGCTTCAGGAATCGATCCAATAAAAAAGACAAAACTGGGGCACCTGGGTGGCTCAGTGGGTTAAAGCCTCTGCCTTCCGCTCAGGTCATGATCTCAGGATCCTGGGATGGAGCCCCGAATGGGGCTTTCTGCTCAGCAAGGAGCCTGCTTCTCCCTCTCCCTCTGCCTGCCTCTCTGTCTACTTGTGATCTCTGTCAAATAAATAAATAAAATATTTTAAAAAAGAAAAGAAAATAAAAGAAAAAAAGACAAAACTGTAAGTGCCCCCAGGCCAAACAGATAGAAACATAGACAAACAGACAGACAGGTAGGCAGATAGATAGATAGATGAAAAAATAGATAAATAGCCCTTCCACTCCCCCACAGAAAATACGGTCATACTGGCAGTGTGGACTCCCTTTGCCTCCACCACAGGACTTTTAAAATTACCACAGCTTGAACAAAATCCACCAGATGTCCATTTGCTCTTGGAAAAATAATTCCAATCGGATAAATTTCTCAAAAGGTGATAATCCTATGCCCCTGTCTGGCCAAATCAGTCTGTCCGTCTGCTTCTCCTGGTTGCAATCTGCCTCCATGTAGGAATTTTCCATCCCCCTCTAAACGTCATGTCATGCAGAAGACTCAAAGGGAAAGGTAAAAGGATTAGTAGATTGATCGATAGAAGATATTAATGCTCTTTCATGTTGGGTTGAAGAAGGATTTGAGGTCATCAGGAGAGACGGTAGCAAGAGAATAGACCTCAAGTATTCAAAAGACTCTCTGGATTAACATCCTATTAAAGTCACATCAGCTTCTCCAGGAGGCATTTTAGAAGGTTGGGATTTCTTTAACATGTCACCATAATTAACCTTCCCTTAAGCTGTTTTGGGTGGGGAACGTTAGCAATTAAGAAACTGGAAACTTTCATTTTCTATCACCCACCATGGCCTTTTGAATGGTTTAAAAACAAGAGTGGAAAGTGGTTTAGCCTAATTGATTCAAGGGGTTCAGCTCTCCCACTTCAACCTGCTGTCAGGCTCACTCCTGATATCTGAGCCCCTCCAAAGAAAGGGCATTTTTGTTGAGTGAAAGAACCAAAGGTTCAGATCTACCATAATGGTATTCTTCCTCTAATCATTCTCACACTGAGTCCCATGAAAAGAACAGCTCTGCAAAGGGATGGTTGTTTTCCCTAGAAGGATCTGTTTCTGGGCCCAGACTCCAGGTCACAAAACCAAGAAACCCAAAGAGGCACCCCTCTCTGCTGGGGCAAGACTGTGTTGTTTTAGCACCGTTAGCACACTGAACAACTGTTCTGTTCCATGGACACTGGGGTCAGGAAACTGTCTCAGATGGGGGCAGCCTGTAGGGGCTGGAATGATCAACCACATGAATAAATGAAATGAGACACGTGTTGTTTTCAAGGGTTTGTCTTACCAGGGTTGTTTTCACTAGGTCATATGTCAACCCAGTTCAAAGGTCAACCCCCTGCCAGATTCCATCACCTGCCCTCATCACAACACCTGCCCCTGGACTATTTCACCTGGGTGTCTCCTCACCCTCGTCAGCCCGAGAGCACCTTCAGAATGGGTCGTGTTGAGCCTTTCTACCCCCAGCCCCTATCACGATGCATGGGGCAGAGTGGTGCTTGACACAGGCTTACCCGTAACTATACAGAATTCACTCTGTGCCTTAAGGCAAGTCATGGCCTCAGTCTTTTACAATGAAAAATTAAGGGGTCTGTTGGGCTGAACGACCTCTGAGGTCATTTGGCAGTTCTCAGAATCTCTGAAAAAGTTGTTGTGTACAGGCTGGCTTTTCATGGCTCCTGTGCTGGGCTCATGATTTATAATAACAGTGAAGGTAATGGTAAGAATAGAGAACATCTACTAAACCCTTAATCACCATCTGCGAGGTTCTCGATGCTCCACCGGTATTATTTCATTAATCCTACGAGGCCGACTCTTGTTACCCCCCATTTGATACAGTGGGAGATTGTGAACATCAGTCATTTGCCCAAAGTCACACCAAGTGTAGTGCACCTTGACTCTGGAGTCTGGACTTCTAACTATTCTTGCATGTTTCCATTAAGAACTTCCTTTCTGAGCCTCCAGTTCAGGCTGCCCGCCCTTCAGTTGATCTACATGTGTCTTCCCTGGCTCCCCAAGGAGCTGCCTGCCTGCTCGTCAATTGCTTTGATTTCCTACCTCAGGACCCCAGCTGGTCCAGCCTCCACCTGCTCCAAGCAGAGGCAGAGTTTGCCCCAGGATCCGGCAGGCCCTTTGTCCTGAAGGCCTGCAGCTCCTGTTGGGAGCAGGTGGCCGGAAAAGCAAGAGAAGGCGTTCATCAGCAAAGCAGTTCGGGAGGTGGAAGGGAAGGAAGGCAAATACAGTTGATCTCAAGAGGAATTCCAAGTGCCTGCCCTTCAGTGACCCGAGCCCGTGGGCTTGGCTTTCTATGCTCTGCAGGGGCAGAATCCGGGAATAAACTTCCCCGTCTTGGTAGCAGCCACAGGAGGACAAGGGGAGGAAGAGAAGAGAGATCTCCTAGGAAGGCTTTGCAGGTATCTTTTAGAAAATGTTTCAATGGCCTGTACAAAGAGGTGGGTCTTCTCTCATTTTAAGGCATCTCTGCCAATTAAAATGTTATTTTCCACTACAGAGTTTGAAATCCTCTTAGGTCCCAGTCTTCACTGTTCTGGCAAAAAAAAAAACTTTAATAGTAGAACAAAGTGTTTTGATTATTGAGGAAAAAAGAAAACAGTTCATTTCAGCAATCACACTACTAAGTATTTACCCAAATGAGTTAAAAACTCATATCCACACAAAAACCTGTACATGAATGTTCATAACAGCTTTATTCATGATTGCTAAAATTTAGAATATATAAAATTGCAGCAAGAGAAAGAAAATTACTAATATAAGGAATAGTTATCTTAAGGAAGTGAAAAAAAAAAGCACATTTATTAAATGTCTAAAAGGTACTCCTTTAGGTCCCTAACATACTTCCTCCAGCTTAGTCCCCTGCAGTGGTCTACAAGAATAGACACTACTTTTGCCAGTATTTTTTGAAGAGAATGCTAAGTTGCTTGTGTTGCAAAATCCCTCTGTTCCTTACCTGTGTCTTTTGTCTTATCCCGAGAAAGCTCATGGACAGTGGCGCCGATGTCATGCCTCAAAATCTTGATGATGTTTGCCAGGACAGGAATGCTACGTTTATCCAGATAGGTAAAAAATTCATATTCATCTTTCTTTAGGCGTGAAGGTCTGGATTCAATGTGGGTCAGGTTTATATCATTCTCCTAGAAAAGAGAAGTGGGAGTATGAAGGGGACAGTCACTGGAATTAACACAGTCAAAACACACACAACTAGAGGGGGGCCTGGATGGTTGGTTAAGCATCCAGCTCTTTATTTCAGCTCAGGTCTTGATCTGAGGGTCGTGAGTTCAAGCCCCATGTTGGGGCTGGAACCTACTTAAACATGCACACACACACACACACACACACACACACACAACCAGAGCAAAACACGCAAAACAATAAAATGCAGAGAGAGAAAGAACGGGACTTTTTTAAATATAAGAGTAGAAGAAAGTCCTTAAAGTAACAAAAGTTATTTACTTCTCTGTGCAAAACCAAGTAATAAAAGGTGGAGGAGAAAGTGCAAATGCTACAGAAATCTGCTAAAGGTTTAGAGTTGCAAACCTAGGATTTTGGTTTGGTTCAAATGTCTAGGGCAGAAGTTGGCAAAAATGTATACACAGGGAAACCTTCTTCTCGAAATCCCCTGGAATCTCAATAATAATATCTCAGTAAATTAATAATACAGAAGCAACATTGCCCAGCTTAAATAGGATCCCCAGGAATCAGGCTTGTTGGGTTTAAATCAGAGTTCTCTATGGATTGTAAGATTAGACAATTTGCTTTCATGTTTCTAGTGCTCAGTTTTTCCATCTGTAATTTAGCATATTAATGATACCTGCTTCATAAATGTGTTGGGAGCATTGGTTGACATGTGTATGACATGGTAGATGCTCAGTAAAAATTAGCTAGTATAAAAATGGTAGTATAACTATCATTCATATTTTTATATAATTAATTTTCTTTCTTTTTTTTTAAAGATTTTATTTATTTATTTGACAGACAGAGTTCACAAGTAGGCAGAGAAGCAGACAGAGAGGAGGAAGCAGGCTCCCTGCTGAGCAGAGAGCCCAATTTGGGGCTCGATCCCAGGATCTGGGATCATGACCTGAGCCGAAGGCAGAGGCTTTAACCCACTGAGTCACCCAGCCACCCCTATATAATTAATTTTCATTCAGGTTATACAACAAATGTAGGTAGTACCCCCAGGTACTGATCATCCTTCCAGGTGGTTGGTATATATCAGTGAGCAAAACAGACCAAGATAGTTTCCCTTATAAAGCTTACATTTAAATTGAGGGAGACAAATAACAAACATAAACTATAACTAACTGATTTATGTATTATGTATTTATGTATTATATTATTATTTATTATTTATATTTTATATTATTTATAATATTTATATTTTTTATTATATATTATGTATTATATTAATTATTATTATGTATTTATGTATTATAATGATTGTAATGAAAAAGCCCAAGGGAAAAAAAAAAACACCAAGCAGAGCATGGTGAAGGGCTAGGCAGTCCTGGGGTGGCGGGGGGAAGTGAGGACAAACTGTAGAACTAAATAAGGTGGGCACATGAGGCTTCATTGAGAAGGGAACATTCATGTATATGTGGGTTTTATTAAAACAATAATCACTAAAGCTACTCAACTTCCATGTCTTTGGCTATCATGTTTTATCTATTATCAGTTTTGTCATGAAAAAGAAAAAGTCATTTATGTAACCTGATCCTCAAATTTAAATGCATGGTAGTCATCTGCTTCTTATTCGGAAAGTCTAATTTCATTGATGGACTGTCCTTTGTGAAGAAAACCAAGGAATATGCTCTACATTTGTTTAAAACAAATAAATAATAGGGGTTATCCCAAACATTTAAATGAATAAAATAAAAAAAATCTAACTTGACTGATTCTATAATTCCAAAAAATGAAATTCATCTATCTTGTAATTCAGGAAGTATATTTTTTGGAGGCGGGGGAGGCAGAGGGTAAGGCAGAGAGAAAATCCCAAGCTAGCTCCACACCAGCGTGGAGCCTGATGCGGGACTCAATCTCATGACCCTGAGCCAAAATCAAGAGTAGGACACTTAACCAACTGAGGCACCCAGGTGCCCTAGGAAGTATATCTTTATCCTTGATTGTTAAAGGCATGTGGTTGAAGAGAAAACATGAAGAATTACAATGATGACACTTTTTGTTTTGATTATCACCTCACAGTTTAGAATTACGTTCCGTGGCCTTCCTAACAAGGCTTTGAGTAGGTTAAGAGAGTTGTAAAATGTGAAATCAGAGATGATGATGCTTTTCCAGAAGTGGCTGGAGAGTCATTGGTGTTCTGACCCACCCTGCCTTCCTGCCGGGGATATCATGAGAATTCTGCAAATATCAGCTTTTATCATTATTATTACTAGTGTGCAAAGCACAAAAATAAAAAGTTCTGGGTATGGCAAACCAATAAGTAACCCCACACATGTACTCTTACTGTACTTTCTTCCTCATAATCTGAGGGCACATGATAGAGCCATTGTTTGTGGGCACCAGCTTAAGAGAATCCAGCCTGGACAGTGATGGCCAGGAAGCCCAATGTGAGGGTCCCACCTAGAGAGAGAGAGAGTGTGTGGAGGAGGGAAGACCAGAGAGATAGCAGTTGCTCTGAAGCTTTCCAGACAAACAGAGGTAACTCCCTAAACAAAGCAAAGAGCAATGTCATCCTTCTTGGCTCAGAAAGAGAAGCTTCACCTACTATTTGCCCAGGTTGAAAGTTTAAAAGAAGAGATAACCTGTTCCTGCCTTGTGTAAAGCAGAAAATACAGCAAAGCCAAGAACCAAGAGTGGACACACCTCCGGCATGCTTGTTTGCAAGAATAGAGCAGGTGATGGAAGGGGTGGGAAAGGTGGGAGCTGGAGAAAGGTCTTGAAGACTGACTATAGGCTGTTGTGTTCAACACCAACCTTCCACCCTCCACAAAAGCACTTCCAGAGAGAAGACTCTCACTTTAGGAATAGCCATAAAACAACATAGGCCCCATGACTCAGTTTTTATAAGGCTGGAGATCAAACTTATGGGGAAAAAAATTCACCAAAATTCATAACCTAACCAAACTCCCCACAATAGGGGAACAATTAGGAAAATTATAGTGGAATCACTCAGTGGAGATTATGCCCCTTTTGGAAAGCAAATAACATTCACAAATCAATCAATATGATACAAAATGTTTAGAAAATTAGAAGCTTCCACCTGTTAATCCTCTTCACTTATTTCTCCTGCCCCCCAATTCCTAATCCTAGGAAATAAAAATAAATAAAAATAAAAATAAAATAATAAGTCATGGGCATGTAATGTACAGCATAGGGAATTAGTCAATATTACTGTAATAATTTTGTGTGGTGACAGATGGTAACTAGACTTATGGTGGAGATAATTTTGTAATGTATAAAAATATCAAATCACTATGATGTACATCAGAAACTGATAGACTGTTGTATGTCAATTATACTTCAGTTAAAAAAAAAAACTTTCTCTGCCCCTCAACCCCTCACCCAACTCATGCTCTCTCTCTCTTGCTCTCTCTCTCTCTGACCAAATAAATAAATAAAAGATTTTATTTATATATATATGTAAATTATATATAATGTAATTACATATGATATACAATGGTATTATGTATAATATAGTTATATATCACATATACTTATAAATTAAAGATTTTATTTATTTATTTGGTCAGAGAAAGAGAGAGCACAAGCAGGGGGAGCGGCAGGAAGAGGGAGAAGAAGGATCCTCGCTGAGCAAGGGAGCCCCATGCAGGACTCAATCCCAGGACCCTGGAATCATGACTGGAGCTGAAGGCAGACTCTTAACTGACTGAGCCACCCAGGGGTCCCAGTAAATAATATCTTTAAAAAAATGCTTAAAGCAGTATCAGTAATCACTCTAAAATATGTTAACAGTAGTAGTCTATAGACAATGGGCCTACAGATGATTTTTGTTTCTTTCTATTTTTTTCATCATAGTTCAACTTTTCTAAAAACAACACTTACACTTTTACAAAGAAAAATTAACGTTGCTTCTTAAATGGTTACAAAGACAACCACTTGGGAAAATACTTATGATGAATTTAAGTATGTGATAATTATAACATGTTTTTAAAAAAACTATGCCCAGGTCAAAAAAAAAAAAAAAAAAAAAGGAAGAAAGAGAGAAGGAAAGAAAAAAAGAAAGAAAGAAGACTAGAATAAAATGCATCAAAATGAGTTATTATGAGATTATGTACAACTTCTATTTATTTGTCAAAAGACTTACAATATTACACATATAATGAAAAGAAAAATATATCTTTTAAATGTGAGTGAAGTTTTTGGCTAAGAACACTCCACCAAACTCTCTAAGCTATTTCTTTCCCATTTGAATCAATTTGTTAAAAATTAATTCTCAAGTTTGGCATGCAATTTGCTTATTGGAGTTTTTCCAGCTTAGATACCAATAATCTTGGTTGCTAAGAGAGACTTTAGAAATCAACCTTCAAACCTGATTATGATCATAGTTACTTTTTAGTAAATGAATTTTTATTTTTAAGCAAGGGATCTGAATAGGTATACAAACGGACCCACATATACTCACCATATTTTTGGGTGAGGGACAAAGAAAGAACTCTTTCTGTTATTGACATGGACATCTGGGTTGAGGCAAGAAAAGTTTAAAGCTAAACATTTCGAGGACAATTTCATGATTTGTCCCATAGCAAATCTACACATAAAAGATAACGGTGTAACAACTTAATTAATTAGGACTCTTGAGCAGAGAGTGTAGGGACTCAGAGAAAAATAAACTGAGATGAAAAGCCTCTTTTAATAAGGATTGGCCAGGGGGTGCCTGGGTGGCTCAGTTGGTTAAGCCTTTGCCTTCAGCTCAGGTCATGATCTCAGGGTCCTGGGATTGAGCCCCGCATTGGGCTCTCTGCTCAGCAGGGATCCTGCTTCCCTCTCTCTCTCTGCCTGCCTTTCTGCCTACTTGTGATTTCTCTCTCTCTCTGTCAAATAAATAAATAAAATCTTAAAAAAAAATAATAGGGATTGGCCAGAAATCCCTTCTTGTTCTCATCCTTAAGAAAAACCTTTCTACAGGGGGTCTTGGTCAGTAGTGAATAAA